AGGAAGGGTCATGAGGACAGCAGTGACTCAGCACCTAGCAAGTACCAGAGCTTCATGTGCAGCCACATGTGAACTCAAGGCTGGCTGGACACTTTGCCCCTTCCACTTCACGATTGAACCTCCTGAGGCACACGGGGAGTTGATTATTCTTGCCAAGGTCATAAGCAAGTTGATGTCCAGCTAGGATTTGGGCCTTGTTGGGCCTCTGTGACCTGGGAGCTAGTCCTGGGCTTGCACACTTCATGTCACTGGAGGGGTGAAGGGCTGCAGTCTGGGAAGGTGGGAAGAAGGAAGCTCTGTGACAACTGTGCCGCACGCCTCTGTTCCCATCAGCCTGAGGTGCTGCCGGCCACCTTGAATTATCTGTTTTCCAATAGACTCCCTTGTGGCTCCCCCTCCCAGACTGGGACTGTGGCTCTCACTCTTGTCTCCTCCATGCCACTGCGCTGCCCTTCTCCAGCCCGGGCACGGAGCTTGTCTTGGTGTTCCCTGCAGGAGGCAGACTCCTCCCCAGACTTGTCCCCCAACTGTCTCAGCAGGTGTGTGGCACCYCACTGCCCAGGTGACCTACTCTGGCCATCCGTTTATATGTGGTGGATGTCTCTTCATTCCCAAGCCACTCCTCGGTGTGTTCTGGGACTGGTCTCAAGAGCTCAGTGGAAAAGGCCTCCTCTTGACCATTGGTGGCTGAGGGGAAATCACCACTGTCCCTGTTATTCTTTTGCAAGGCACACTGGGGACTGCCCACACTGTGCCCTCTGCCTGGTGTGCCCTTCCCTCTATGCATCAGCTGTAGTCTACATGCTGTGGTCACCTGTGTCCACCTGGCATCTCTCTAGCACTTGGGCCATAGGTCTTTTCTGTGTTCTCTGCCAAAGGCCCGTGCTCCTTCTCCATACCTTCCCTGGCTTCTCTTCATGGAATCCATGTTTGGTGAATATATGAGCAAAAGGATAAAGGATGAACGTACTGGGTCTCCAGGTAGCAGAAGCTTCCAGCAGCCCTTGGTGGTTACACAGGTTCTCCTAGAGACCTGCACCCCAGCAGGACTTGCCAGGGTGCCATGGGGCAGCAGTAGAACCAGGCCCATTAGGGCTAGGAGTGTCAGCAGCATGGCTCCTACACTCTGCTGGCCACCTCTGGGTCACCCAGTTAAATTTATTATGTGCACTTATGGTCACACAGATACGCACACATGTGACATGTGCTATCTTCAGAGAAGCCTACCTTCTCTATGTTCTGTCTTGTTCCTGTCACCTCCTAGGGACTTCCTCTTCCTACAGTCCCTCTTCCTCTGTCCCACTGGTTGCAGCTGCACAATCTGAGTGGGGGAACCCTCCCCAGGTCCTTGGTTGGCCCAAATGAACCTCAAACTGCTGGATGTGGGAGATGAGGGTCATGGGTAACATGGTTGCAGATTCTGGAGGGAGGGGCTAGTATTGCAGCAAGACTTTGTATACCTGTGGTAGTATACTACAGGTAGTAATGCTGTACCTGAAGGAAGGTGGTCCCATCGTATTCCTGCTGGAGGAACTTTCCGGGCCAGCCTTGAGGGAAGCAAAAGCCTAGCACCTGAGRGGGGAAGGTGGCAGCTATCTAGGATGGGCTTTGGATGTCCCCTGGGGTAGCCTAAGTGGCAATGAAGAAGTGGGGTCAAGGAGGGTGGTTTTGTATGGAGAGATTTGCCACAGGGGCGGTCCCCTGGGCAGGGCTGGGGGTGCTGGGCTCAAACTCTGCTTTGCACCCTCTACTCACCTGATTTATCCTGGCGTATTTGTTTCTGTGATGGTGTCAGCCCGTGGGTTTCTCCTTGATCTCCCTGAGCCCATAGTTCCCTGCCTCCCAGAACTCTCAGTTCCACCCAGGAGCATGGCTGACCAGCTCCTACACCCCTGCTTGCTGCTCTTTGACCTATGATGGTAGTCTATGCCCCCTGCTGGCCCCACTGCCTGGTCTGTGCTCAGCTGGGCGTGGCTGTCACTGTGGAGGATGGGCATTCTGGGAAGCTCAGACACCCATGAGCAGTAAGTGGATGCCTAGGGCCACGGACAAGTGATTCTGTAGTTCCATACCTCAGTTTCCTTCTAGAAAATTCCTGTCTGGCCTTGACCTTGAAATTCTTTTCCAGTCTTATGATTTTCTTTACCATTGGGCACTTTACTCCCTTAGCTTCCTTGTTGAAGGGGACTCAGGACTAGAATGGCCTCTGGCTGGTCACCACAGGCATAGAAAGCACTCACATCCTCTGTTTGGTTTAGGGGTCTCCAAAGGCACAAGGCCCYTGGTCCTCCACTGGCTTCTTCAAAGGTGAGCCTGTCTCCCAGCGTTCTCTTCAAATTGCCATTAATTAATGGGGTGACAAACCAACTCCATTGCTCACAGACAGGACCGTTCTGTACCCAGGAGAAGCACTCAGTGGAAAGCATTGTTTTGTTTTGTACTTCTCCTGCAAGTCTTTAAGGCTTCTGTCAGCACAGCCTGGGCGCCTGTTTGTGCAGCGATTAATCGTCTGTGTTTGCTCAATTGGAAACGAAGCGAACTTTACCACAAGTGGAATCAGTCATTAAAAAGTCGTTACCAAATCACACCAGCACAGTGCCTGCTCTTCTGCTAATGACAAAACAATTTCTTGAAAAGGTACAAACAACAAACTTTTCACTTTACATTTTTCTTCTTTGCCAGCCATTGCTAGCCTGGAGATGTAATAGAAGAGAGCCGTAGTGAAGGGCAGCATTTTTGAGATTTATTGGTCAATAAAGGAGACAATTGTAGTTTGTTTATGAAAGGAGATCCCCCGCCCCAGCCTCGAGCGGCATCGACACTCTGGTAATGATAACTCGGGTAACCAGCTTGAGACGATAAAAGTCAATGGGAAGATATAGGATTTCAATAAAATTATGACACTCCATAAACCTTCCCGTGGAAACAAATTTTCCCCGGATATGTGACCAGTTCCAGTTGGATTTGTAACTTTAATTTCTCACTTATTGAATTTTTTTGTCATCAACTAATTACAGAGTCCACACTGGGGTGACAACTGTGTCCCTTGCCAGTGAATGCAGAGTGCCTAGACACAGCAGCCCAAGGCTCTGAGGGCCCATCATCTCAGGAAGGAGAAGGCAGGGTTTCCTACACCCCAACATGCTGCCTGTCTTTCTCACAAAGGAGGGACCTGTGTTCCTGCTGGAGGTGGCTGAGCCATGGGCCTGGCCTCTCCTGGGGACATGGTTGGGCAGCAGCCTGTGGAAGTACACACTGAGAGAATGCTACCTGCAGGGGGACCTTGGTGGTCATGAAGACCTGTTTCTGTGTGGAGGTCTTGTTCCCCTGGAGGTCTGAGAGAGCAGGTCTCCATCAGGGCCATGAATTGCCCTTTGAGCCAGGGCTGGGTGGGAGGGAGGGAGCTGCTGGCCAGGGCACAGAGGGAGGTGATGAGGGGCTAGTCTGACCTTGGCCTCTGCTCCTTTCCCTGGATTCATGTGTTGGGTAGGGGCATGTGCCAGTAAGTGTGTAAACCTGCTTCCTCACTTCTTAACTGCTAGTGTTCACCAACATTGATACAATTCTATCCTTTCATGAGCACCAAGCATTTACAGGGCAGTTCTCTGGACACTTTGTTCATAACAGTGTTGAGTTACATAGCTGTCCTTCATGTCTCCATCTTACTGGGAAGGATCTGAGACTTGAGGGCAGAGCTGGGGTTTGAACCAGGGTCTCCCAGAAGCCATTCCCTTCTTTGTGGCCTGTGTTGCTCCAGAATCCTCATCACTGGCCCTAGARGTGGGCGGAGCCAAAAAGGGGGGTCACTGAGCACACTAGTAGGGTCTCTGCAGTGCAAGGTGGCATTGCAGCCAGACCTGCCTGCCCTGTGGAATCTGAGTCTACCTTCTGCAAGACCCCCAGGGTGTTTGCATGCACAGGTGGTCAGAGAAGCTGTACGCTGACACACCTGGGCTTCTGAACGAGGGCTCCCCTATCCCCAGTTGTGTAGTCCACTGAGTGCAGGGGGGTAACAGGACAGATGGGAGGAGCCCCTGCCTGGTCCTGGATCTGTTGGTTGGACCTTCTCCACCTAGGAATCGCGTATCTGAAGCCGGGAGAACCCCGTGGCCCTGTGGCCTTAGGTTCACATCTGACAGCCTTAGTCAAAGGAGGAGGAGGAGGTAGCTTCCTGTGAGGCATGGCCTTCCTTAGCAGTTCAGCTCCCCACCAGGCAGCATCCTCTGTCTCTGCAGGCCCCCCTGCTGGCTTAGCAAGACTTTTTCATTGAGGCATGTGTGATGGATTTTTCCAGTCTCAGGAAGGAATCGGTCTCAGTCTTGGCAGGGGAAAAGCCACCCATTTCTCCCAGGGTTCCTGACTTCCTGACTCTCACTCTGGCAGGGTGTAGGTAAGCAGTGATCTTGTCTAGGCTGAGACTCCTGGCAGTGTGATCAGTCTGTTGTCTCAGGAAACTTGGGTCACTGCTTCTTGTGATTGCTATCTTGTGTCAAGAGTGGAGGCAGGTTGCTTGGCATGGCTGGTGGCCCAGTGACACTCTGGTGGCCTCAAGCATCCATGAGGAGTCATTTGCTGATGGATCCTGGCCTTGTGTTTAGAGTCAGGGTAGTTGGGCAGAGCAGAGTGTTTCTTATCCCAATAGGTTGCCAAGTATCCCTACTGGGATGGGTGCCTCCTCACCCACCAGAATGCTGGCTGATGTCCTTGCTCTGAGTGTTACTGTCTGAGATCTGGTGAGAAGTCAAAGCAAGCGGGTATTCAGCCTGAGACAGGGAGAGTAAGCACTGAGACTAGGACATGCTGTTGGGATTGCAGGCCTAGGTGGTGAAAGGCCTGGGAGTTCTGAGCACCTGGGCCTCTGGGACAGGAGCTCTGGAGGTGGGTACTGTTGGCAGGTGAGTGTGAAACTGAATTCTTGAACTCTTTGAGGTGCTGCATAAGGGAGCTCCCCAGGCTCCTGTCTCCATGTTCTGCTGACCAACTGTCCTCTGTGCCCACAGGAGCGGGATGGCATGCGTGCCATCCTGGGGTCCTATGACAGTGAGATGACCCAGGCTGAGTACTCACCCCAGCTGACACGGCGCGTGCGGGAGGCTGAAGACATGGTGCAGAAGGTGCATGCTCACAGTACGGAGATGGAGGTAAGTCTGAGCCATGGGTGGGTAAAGGGCCCATGTCCCCAGATGGTCATCCTCCCTGGACCAGGGACTATGGGGGAGGGTGTGGTCATGGATGGTTATATTGCATACATGGTCTGCTTTAATTCTCTTCATGGCATGAGGTAGTTGGAGGGATCCTAGATAGTCCTGTCCAGATGGCAGGTAATGTAGGATGTCAGTTTGAGGGGTGGCCTTTGCTGAGTAGAGTTCCCTCTGGGGGCCTCAGAGGTAGCCCTGAGGCCTAGAGTGTGGGCTTGGATCTGTGTTTCCCATGTCCCTGGGTCAGCGGTTTCTCCTTGTGTGATTTCCCTCCAGGTCTCTGTTCTGGGATGCTAAAGGGTCCTCTGGGTAGAGGGCAGCTTCAGCCTGTGGCCTCTTTCTTCTTTCTCCTGCTGCCACCTGCATCACCTTGTGGGCCCTCTTTGATGCCCCATGTCCTCTTCTAGAGGAAAATGGATGGAGGGCAGATCTGTCTTAGCATGACTCATTGGCTCCTGAGGCTTTCTGCTGATGAGTACCTGGGCTGGTCAAAGCCCTGCATGGCCTCTCTTCCCTGGACAGCTTGTATCTGCTCTGAGCTGGGATCTGCCTGATGGGCCTGAGAATGCAACATTGCGTGCCTGGTCACAGCTTCCCAGCAAACCACCCCACCCTGAGGTACAAATGCCAATGTTTCCCCAGCAGAGCTGAGGAGGGGTTTGCTCCACTCCCTGGCAGGAGCAGCATAGCTCTTGTGGGCATGGGCAACGCCGCCTGTTAGGTAGGAAAACCTCCACAACCAAGTTGGCCAGCATTGCCAGCCGGCTCTGCACTTTATTTCCATCTCCGGAAGCAGGTGCTGTTGTTATCCTGATTTTCCTGAGGAGGAAGACAAGGCCAAGAGAGGCCTGGGGGTGTGCACAGGATACTGAGCTGGTATGGGACAGTGCCAGACCTAGAGTGCAGCCACAGCACTTGCTCTGCACCACTGCACTGCCACTCCCAGAAGCTTCTGTGGTATCCTTTGGTCTTGGTGCTCACTGTCACCATGATGGGCCTGGATCCACAGTGTAATGGTGATGCAGATGAGAGGTGTTGGTGTGGCTCATCACACCATGCAGGGTGCTGTCTACGTTTCTCATTTAGCCAGTGTTTGGAGATCACCTCTGATGTCCCAGCTGGACAGATGGCCAGGGTCTAGAGGGGAGAGCCAGGATTCCTGTGTGACCACAATTGCTTCCCACTGGGCCTAGTTCCGTACAGGGGAACATTCAGCAGAGTTCCTGCCCCTTTGGAGCTCAGCTGCTAGGTGAGGGAGATGTCTAATAAACAAGCTTCACCTGTTTGACAGGTTAGGGGTGCTGTGTTGGGAGAACAAGGTTCGTATGAGGGAATTATCTTGGACCACCTTGATTCCCCTGGAGGCTGGCACGTCCAGGGAGATGGGGGAAGGTGGTTGGCAGGTCACCCAGTATGTGAGGAGGTACAGGGAATGCCAAGACTAGGGCTCTGGGTGTGGCAGGTGGCAAAGAGGCACCCAGAGCTGTGCTTGTGGAGGGTGGAGCTCCTCTGGGGAGACTTGGGAAACTGGCCAGAGGAGTCATCTGGGCTCTATCCTATGGGAGGTGGGTATGGGGTCCCAGGGTCCCTGCTCCACAGCAGAAGGCTGCAGACTGGGCTGCCCTCACATCCTTTCAGCCTCTCGCCTATGCTGAGGTCCCTGCAGGCACCCTGGGGGCCTGTACTATGTCTCTGCCTGGGTTCAGCCCTCAATGGCACTCTTCAGCAGAGTAAACCACAAGTAAGAGAGACCTCTGGTTCTGTACTGACCTCCAAACCCCATTGGTTGGGAGCTCATTCTGCTGCTTCAGTGTCTGTGCCCAGGAGCAGGCCCTCCATCCTTGGCTGCACAGAGTGAAGCCATCATGGACTTGAGCGCATTAATAGCCACCCTGTTACCACCCATTTGGCTCCATATGAAATGCTAATGAAGAGAGATATGCAGGGACGGCTCAACATCTTCCATCATCCCTAGCATTTCTCACATTGAGAAATCCCCATCTGTGTTGGCCACATGTTCTGCACAGGTCATTATGAGCCCAGCATTTGAGCACAGCTGGTGCCATGTGTTCGAGTTCTGTGTCATGACCCAGGTTTCAATATCAGCACTCACTGACCAGATGTGCTCACTGTACTACCTGGGGCAGCTTGGTGGATCTCAGCCATCGCCTGGTTCATGGGTGTGTGTCAGGAGACCCTTCTCACTTTCTATTGTGGGACATATAAGGGCAGGTTGCCCGCTTCTCCTGTGTCTCCTGGAGTTATGGGGGATTTGCCAGACAGAGAGATTAGAGGCCCAGCTGGAGTGCACTTTGACACCAGCTGTGCCTTCCAATACTGTGGGGTTCAAGGGGCYGGTCCAGGTGCAGGTGGGGTTATAGGTTGCTCTTTCCTGTGACCTGCTGTCAGCCCACCCACACTCTGGCCCATAGATCCAATGCCCAGCCCAGTAGGGGATCCACAGTCAGAACCTTCCCATCTCCAGCCCGGTTCTTTCTAGCGAATGGGACTCTGGGCAGGTCATCCCTGGACCATGCTCCCCGGGAGCTCCTTACCTGGGGTCTCCGTCATGGCTGTTTCCTTCAGCACACRGTCCCTTGGGCCCTCCAGAAGTGATCTGACCTCTCGCTAGCCTTGCTCCTCTGGACCTGGGCTGCAGCAGCCCATGGCTGTGTTGGGGTGGAGACCCACATGCAGTGCTCTGGACCTCCTTGCCCTCCTTCCAGGTCCAYCAGTTACCACCTGCTGCCTAGAGTCAGTGGACATGCCACCTACTCTGCTGTTTGAGGTGGCCAAATATTCTGGCCTGGCACCTCATCTCCCTCAGGGTTCCACGTGGTAGACGGCAGCCTTCTTTTGTAGAACTGTCCCTGAGGGGGCATGCTGCTGCCTGGCAGGGGGAGAAAAGCATGGACAGTGGCATCCCCAGCCCTTGGGAATGCAATAGTGGTTGGATTGAGTGTGAGCTGGGGGGACATACTGGATGCCCCTGTGAGTCTTGTCCAAGCACCTAGATCCACAGAGGTGGGAAACTGTGGGCTTCCTGCCACCACCAGGTGGCAGCAGCTGCAGCCCTGTGGCTTGCTTCTGGGCTTGGGGCAGGTTTGAGAGCCCTCAGCTGGGTCTGCTGTGGAGGAGCCCCAGCGAGGGTTTCTCCTCAACATTGTTTTTATTCTCCTGCTCAACGGGGAACACCCCCTGTGCTTTCCCAGCCTGTCTGGGAGCCTTGCTGGGGAGAAGGCTGCCTCTCCCCTGCCCCCACTTTTCATCTTTCCTCCCCATTGGGTCCTTCTCCCATGGACCAGACCTCTGTGGCTGTGCTGAGTCAGGTGCTGTGGAGTTCCCTGTTCAATGAGGGTATAACAGGTCAAGGTCTGCTGCTAGGCAGAGGGAGTGAGGCGMCCAGAGCCTGTGCTTGTGGAGGGTGAAGCTCCTYTGGGGAGACTTGGGAAACTGGATGGAGGAGTCATCTGGACTCTATTCTATGGGAGGTGTGTATGGGGTCCTAGGGTCCCAGTGAGGCTAGAGGAGGTCTCTGCCTGGCATAGCACTGCTCCTAAGAGGCACCCAACAGTTCCATCCTGGCTGCAGTTCCTCATGCAGAGCGGTTGCTCTCAGGTAATTTAGGACCAAATGGGGTGTGAGGTTTGAGAACTCCCTAACTTTCCCAAGAGATCTGCTTTCACTCACAGTGAGGTGAGGGTGGCCACACAGCCTTATCCTATGGAGGATAGATTGGCTGTCTAGATTGGGGATGCTGACTGAGCAAGGGCCAGTGGAACTGGGGGACTTTCTCCCAGCCCTGGGTAACATCACCGAAGTACCCACACACAGGGAAGCACACAGGTGGTGGCTGTTTCTCCTATAGTTTGTTAAGGGTGGTTCATTTTTATGTGGAAGCGTGGTGCTGTAGAGAAGAACTGGGGAAAGCAGGGCAAACACGGGCTCCTGCACTGTCCAGCGGCTCCCCAGGGTGGAGGCCTTGCTGCCTGGAAGCAAGAGCCAGGTCAGTAGGGGTACTTCTGATCTTGGCATTAGGTGTGGTTCCCCAGGCAGCTTCAGGTCCATAGTGCCCTCAGGGGAAGGGCCTCTTAGATGTTCTGTGTCCCCCACCCCGTGTTCCAGCCTTTAGCACCAGCCCTTTGCCCTGGGAAGGCAGTGTTGCCCTGGCAGGCCCGCATCCTCCTGTTCCCACTGCAGGGCAGCCCTCAGTGAGAGGCTAGTTGGGGGCCACTGGCTGGCCACAGGAGCTTTTGAGGAAGTCCCTGGGCCCAGGCAGTTGCCCAGGGGTTCGCTTGGTYCTCCTCACAGGCATGGCACAGGTTAGACTTCGGGAGAACACGGCCATGACAATGGGCACCAATAAGCACATTGACAAAGAAGAGGCAGAGCCTGGTGGGAGGTGTGGAGTCCAGTGAGAGTTGGGCTGGGCGCTGCCTGAAGTGGCCATGCCCCCACAGTTAAGGCTAGCCTCAGGGACGGGATGCCAGTCACAAGACTCAGGGTGGTGTCCACATCTCCAGCTTCCACTTGCTATGAAAAGGCCTTGATGTCTTGTGAGGTCTGGTGGTTGCATGGGCCTGGCGAGGAGGGCTTTGGGGCAGAGGTCTGACCTGGGTCCTCCCTCCAGCCATGGCGAGGATGATTGCTTACTTCCCACACAGGAGAAATGGAGAACCTAGAAGGTATCTGTGGCTGGTGCAAACTGTAGTAGCTGAGTCCACCCAAGGTGGGAAGCTTCCGGTCTCATGGCTCCCATATCCCATGGAACTGTCCAGTGGCCATAGCAACCCCTGCCCACTCCAGATGAGGCCGTGAGTTGTGGTCTCTCCCCACAGGGCTCTGACTTCTGAGCCACCAGTTGACTATTCTTAGTGCTGAGGCTGCTGTGGCAGAACCTCCCGGGGTGTCCGGGGCCCCATTGCCAGGGAAACTGAGTAGAA